GGAACCGTAACTCATCCGGTCAAACGAGTACTTGGGTACGGCCGGGGGGATAAAGGCTTAATCTGACTAATACCCGTAGTCTCACTAGTTGGTGCAGGCGAAGGATCCCTAATATCTACCCTATCCCAGTATATTTGGGTAACGAATGACTGGGGTGTTCTGAAAACCCGGATCCCGGAGCTTGTCAAGGAAAAGGGGACTCACATCGTCAGCCTATTTAACACAAAAAATACGGTGTTAGGTCGACCACAGTCTTGTACCAGTAAAAATGCTCGCCACTGTGCTGATTCTAGGGTTCGTGGTTGAAAGGAACAAACGTGTATTACTTGAGATGTGATAGCTATTCACGAAAGTGAGTAACAATTAACGAATAACGACGACTCGTCAAACGTTGCTGAGGGAACCTGACACATACGGGTACCCAGGGGAAAGGTCAGCCCAGCCAAGTCCAAAAACTTGGTGCCTTCTTTTCATAGGTGTTGGTCTCTGGAGGGCAGAGCGGCTAACTAGTTTAGTGGGTAATGTCCCGAATGTGGGAGGCTAACACTACATCCAAACCTCTTGAGAAATGGAAACAAACTCCAGGACTGAGCCAGGCGAAAAGGTTCATCACCACATCACAAAAGAGAGTAGAAAAGCTCTTACATGTGAACAGATGGTTGTCGGACTGCCCAGTGAAATATCATCTAAAGGCAATAGAATACGACTGAAACCGCAGAACATGTACTCTGCGAATGCACAGCCCACCAAGAGTAGACCAAATATCCCACAAGAAAAAAACCCTTCTCTCGGACGAATAATCAATTTCTTCGACACAAACTAAGATATAGAGTCGTGCACAAAATATCTGCAAAGGTATACAATTTAAGATTTACCAAAATTGACAATTTGCCTGAAACCTGTATATGAAATAACAATCCTGGTACAACAACTCAAAACTATCCATCTCATCATTTCGCTTGCCATATTTGTCAAGCCACATTTAAACACTTTCTCGCTATCCACATTGGTCCAGCAGATCTTGGAAGACGTCTCCTTGATTCTTCTGCCTAAGTACAGTTGCTTTTTATTACTGTATGTCAGAGTCTGCCTTTGCGCTTTGTATGTATAAGGTAATAGTTTGCTAATAGGCACTGATCGAATTCCTGTGAACGGAGATGTATGATTATGTTCGAATTTTTCAACCGGATTTCCAGACAATAGCCAAGCTAGTCTCCTTCTTCTATGAATTTCTATTAGTTGATGAATGCCTTACTGTATGTTCCAAATATTAGGTAATGTCAAAATTTTCTCATCTTGATCCTCTAGTTAAAACCATTAGAGAAAAACATTTGAATTTGAATTATTTCAAGTAGTTTTTTTTTTTTTGAAGTCTAGAAAAATTATTTTGAAAATGATGGGGATGAGAGGATGGGAATGGTTAAAATGCGAGTTTTTAAAAATTAGAAAATACCTAATCCGCCTAAATCTGATGATTTATTTCCGTTCGTATTTGTGGAAAGTTGAAATTTGAGAGAAAGCCAGTGTGTACGTGTATTTTATATATTACAACAACAAGACGGCTTTCGGCAAAATTTCTATTGGCGCGGTCACGAATTAGAAGAAAAAACACCGTTGATAACAAATTGCCTATTTGTTAATTTTAGATACTGTTCACGTTACTTAAGTACCTACCGGATCGTTCCGCATTTATAACGTGGCTCTAATTCATTTACATAGCACATTGTGAACGTACTTTTAGAACAATTTGAATATTCAATTTTCACTGTATAAAGTGACAAAAAAAATTGAAACTATAATCGTCCAAAATGATTCAAATACAATAGTTAAAGTATAATCATGCTCCAAAATACGAGAACCCTTCACCCTTTGAAATTGACACTGATAACATTAAACAATAATATTTTCAATTGGATTTATTAGCATTGATGAAAAACGTTGAAACTCACCAAACTATTTTTACATTTAATAACAACTTAAAATAAGCTAATTCTGGCTTTTCCTTCTACAGTGATTTGTACTCAGACTCAGATTTATATTAGGTCTATGAGACAATTAAGTTTGAAGCGTGGTGAATAGCATGCTCCTTCCGTCCGGTCCTGGTTGAAGGGGTAGAAAAGAGTGGGTTGGCAGCATGCGGTGCGTAATGCTTTTTTCCTGTAGTTCGTTGCGCTAAAAGCAACGAAACTCGCCGAATGCATTCGAGAGTGCACTTAAAAATGAAAACCCCTGGGCCGCATCGCTGCAAGCTCAAATGCGTACATGTGCGTAATTAAAAAAAAAATGTGGGTTAAAATTTTTAAACGCCGATACAGCCCGACTTTTTCCAAATGGCAGCAAAAGGAATAATTAATTATTTCCTGTATACGGGGTAAAAGCTGTACCTCTAGTTTTTTAAAGGCAAACCTGAACGATGCTTAAAATATAATTAGTCTTTTCGTCGGTTCGTGTGGTGTATGGGGGTTATTAGGGAAATTACTGCTACTACTGGTTTTCAATTCAGCTTTTGAAAATTATCGATGAAACAATAAAGTTGGTTGATTCAACTAAATATCATGTACTGGATGGTACTTGAAAATATTTATTATATACGGACAACGAATCAACCCTTATGTAGAATTGGTGCTACTTGATAAGATTAAATACATGCCTATAGACATATTTATTGCATATTGCATAGAGCCGGTTTATTGAAATTTGAAGAAAAATATTTTAACAGTAGGATTGATGTTTGAGAGCCCCAATTGGTATGGACTGACTATGTTTATTTTACATATTAATTTTTGATCGGGATTCAAACGTAAGCCAATTTTGAAATATTTATATCAAGCCTATATGGACAACATTTAGGTATAGGTATATTTTAATCTGTTAGCGGATTATGTGCGTACCTACTCCAGTCCTACCTGCGTCCTTATTTTCGAAACAGGGGAGTAGCGTTCTCATGAGAACGTAGGTTCTGTCTTCGTCGCTCATATTCACATTTCCATAACACTGACAAAGACAGAACATTCGCTTTCCTGAGAACGCTGTTCCCCGGTTTCGAGAATAAAGACCCTGTAGGATTGACTCGAAATCTTTAGCCGCTTATCAATATTTCAGAATATTTAAATCAATCCGCGATTAAGCCGGATAGCTGTGTTAAATAAACGTTAGCACTGATAGACACTTAAATCTGAGTTGTGGAAAAATTAAAACGAACCATCTTTTTCTCAAATTTAAATTATTGACATAGCTTCATCAGCAAGAGAAAAAAAAAATAGGTACCTGCCTATTATTTATTTAAAGATTAAAAACTTAAAATTAGTGTTTTTTTTTCCATGGAAACATAGTAAACCTTTAATCCAAAGTACGTTTGGGGTGTTCAAACATTCTTACTTACAAGAATGTCAGTGAGACTAATCAATTTTCAATTTGACAATTGTTGTTATTGTTGCTGTTCGTTCGCCCTTTCGACCCCATACTCTACACTCTACACTTTAGCCTTGGAGAATTTTTGGATCTCATTGTATGGACTCTACTCGTTCCCATTCATGCGTGGAGACTAGAAGGCGACCTATCGTGCCGTACTGTTGCGGTCACCCATCCAACCTCCTTCCGGACACAACGCTGGCCTACGTAATGCGACTTGCGTCCTGTCACCAAGTACCAATGTGCCGGTCATTTGGTAATTAAAGCTATCCACTAATCTCCTACGGCCCGAATACAGGTGACACGGAATGGAGGAAACTCTCGAGCTTAAAAGAATTTGAAATCCTTAGAAGATATTTCAAATAACGTTGTTTTCACAACGATGCTTAATAAAGTGCAAGAAGTTGGCATGCCTGCGGATTTAGCTCAAAAAAGAGGGAAAATAAGGACAAAAAAGAACACATAGGGGGAATTCCAACGTTTTATGAATAGTAGAACTAGTAGCAGTCAACTTGACACTGTATTAACATCAGTTTCGATAATGCTATAGCACGGACTTTAATTAATTCCTTATTTATATTTGCGATATAAATCGATAACATGCTGGTTGCTATTTTTGTATTTCGTGCATATAAATTGTAGATAGTTCAGCCAATTTTCCCGAGTCCGTTTCTGTATAGCCCTTCGATTTTCCGTACTTTTTTAATGAACACGCACCGCAGGGGCCCTGCAACTCTAATTGTAATTTTCGTTCGCCGGTTTTTTTGCAATTTAGATGCATTTTGCGTGTTGTTCGGAAAAGTACCCCGTTCAAAAAGGAGTGCGGCATTTTTGAGCATTTTAACAACGACGTATGCAAAAAAAAAATGCTGCCAATGGGCTCCGTCTAAAAATAGCACAACTCGGGATTAATCGCAAAACGAATCTTCAGAACACATACATACGTATATGAGTATTGTGTATGTACCCACATAAGTGGCAAAACGGCCTTGTTTTATTTGATGCGGTATAGTTATTAGATTTAGCGAAGGAATACTTTTTTGTAAAGCTTTTTTTAAATTCTGCACAACATGCTAACAATGGTATACGAAAAGCAAATTACCAAAATTTGACAAATTAATGATAAATTTAACAAAAGCTATATTAATATGCTAGCAAGTTTAAATCATATTTTACTACGTTAGTAGGTAAATCAATTGCACATATTATAATAATAAAGAATGGCGGTTTATTTGTGACATTGTACCAAAGACATAACTGTAACAATGTCACAACATTTCGCGTACGTTATTAAAACAGAACAATCTGCGCATTATTTAAGAAAAGCCCACTTGGTTCGCTCTTAATCAAGAAATTTCGAGCTGTCAGCGAATTTAATTGGAGACCGCAACTAAAAGAAAATCTTAGACGCAAGCTTGCAACAAATGAACGGATGCATCAGCTCAGCCCGCGGTCTTTGTTCGATGGAGCTGATGGCAAATTTAGGTCGCGCCACTTGATTTAACTTTAATTCCTTAAGTGATGTCGAAACATTTTTTTCGCGAATTCAGTTTAAAGATATTTATCAATCTCATTATTATTGGTTGCAGGGTTGGAACGCATCGCTGAGGAGTTGATGGGTCGAAGGAAATGGAAAATTTACCAAGAATCCATGTCAAGAAGTTATTTGCAACCATTGAACAACAACATAAAACGTACAAACAACTCATTTTCAGAAGAAGACTGCTTTCAACGTTCACAGAAGGAAAACAACCAGCCCATTGGCAGTCCAAAAAGGTAACATTGTCAAAAAATGCTCACACTATAATACTAATTCGTTTTCTACAAGATTTTTATAGTTGAATAGCTGAACAGTTGCACACAAAGTTCTTTTTTTTTTAATGAGCCAAGGAACTGAAACCCTATCGATTCATGAGATTCCTGTCACTTGTCAAAAGCTCTTTCGAACGCTTCCATCCTTCTCAGAGAATACTTAAAAGAGTCTTTCTGAATTGTTGAAGGAGAAAATTGTTCTATTCCTATAGACTGTGATAAATTCACTTATATATTTAGGAAATGGGATACTTACAAATTGGCCATTTAAGAACACGAAGCTCATTCAAGTCCTACATGAAGATGGATTGAAACATTATCCTCTGGAAAAAGTATTGCTTTGTACATGGGTCTTCTAAGCCTGCGCAGAATATTAAATAATGACCTGAAAACAAAAACGCATAGGGTAAAAAAATTATTCTGTCAATAACCACGTTTTTTTTTTCTTGGTCGCTACTAGAAATCAAAAAATTGTCTTCAGGAACGTTTGAAAATTAATCACTGCTATTATCTACTATGCGTGTCAACAATTGAACTCGTTCACGGTCGTGATATTTCCCAGCATCCGGTTACAAGATGGTTTAAGTTTAGAAGCGATAGGTCCTGCGGAACATTATAAAAGGACTAGAAGGCCAAGGACTTCATCAACACCTCGCAACCCAAGAAAAAAAGGGGAACATTCTGGTCAGGCGACAAAGAGTCACCTTTAGGCCAACTCAGCCTTGGCGACATCGAGATAAGCATTGGCTCAGGTCAAATCAAGTGACACCACGTGGCGTGGGGAAAACGGACATCAATGTCAAGGAAGAAAACATACTCAAATACGTTTTAAGCATGAATCTTAGTATCCTCAACAGCGCAACAGAACCAACCTTAATAATGGACTGTAGATGATAAAAGCAAAAGATATAGCTCTTGCGATAATGTGGCAGGAATGCCAAGGATTTTCCGCGCCTGTAGGGTCCAAAATGAACCAACATGGCAGGTTCAGAGCATCGAATTATCTGCCTAATACTCTGCTCGATGATAGAGAGAGAATAGGCGCGCACCCACTGATATCGGACTGGGATAGGTGTAGGAGGGATCTATCATAGATTGCGAGTTGAGCATCAAAAGCAGCAAATCTTGAGTAACCTTTTGGAATCGTAATCTTAACTTATCTCCAAAAGGATCCAACTGGAGAACCGAAAGAAGTCTCTCCATCAAGAAGAAGGCACAGCGGGCACACAAAAACGGCAACCAAGCGGACATAGGCAAACTCCTGTTGGTCCCATATTCAAAACTATTAAAATAATGTGAAAGACGACTTTTGTTTTCAACTCACTTTGCATCATGGATAGCAAGCTATTGCTTCCATTATTGATAGGTAGTTCTCTGAATTATAGTTTTGTTCTAGTGTTCGAAAACAGCCTACCGTAAAGGAGACCGAGGACGAGGAAGAGGGGTCATCAGAAAAGGCACCGGCAGTGTCGCCGGAGGCCGAAAACGGCACCGCCGGCGCCCCCGAGAGCGACGCAGACGAGGCGCAGCTCGACTGGACGCCGCAGAGCAAGTGCGTCTTCTGCGCAGACGGAGACGGCAAGCTGGATAGTGATCACGTAGTGCATCACGGGGAGTTGGTAAGTTATCTTATTTATAGGATCAAACACATGAAATGCTAAAAATAGTAACATTATTGGCATGAGCTAGACCTTGATTGTTTTAATTTGCTGAGCACGATCTTGCACTATGAGATCGTAAAAGGTCTAAGCTGAGAATGTTTGCAGTGTCGATCATAAAATCAAAAGATGGTATCTTTTTTGCTCTTACATAATCTCAAATGGTAGTGAAAATATATTTATTATTATTGACACTTTCAAACTTGTCTGGGCTGTTAATTCGCTGATTTTTTTTTTAAAGATATGACCTAATATAATATTATTTTGCCTGTACCGACTTGACCTAAACTTGTGTCTTCCCTTTTACGAAGTAAAGTAAAAACCTGAAAGGCTTAATCAAACAATACCCAAATGAATAAGTTCTTCAAATGTAATACTCATAATCAGGCAATCCAAACCACGTGACATTCAAGATGGCGTGGCGGCCACACAGGGGCCAAACTTCATTCTTTAGTCGTGTGCTGTCTGGCTGTTTGTTCGGAGTTTTATACTTTTTAATGTTTTTGAAGGTGTATTTGTGCGGGGAAATGTTTTAAGTGCAATTCGACAAGACATTATCATTATGTAGAGCCAATATGCGCAAGAACTTGGTGCCCAGTCACCCAGTCAGGATTATCCACATCCTCTAACTTACCTGCTTGGTTTTCCTATTATAAAACCATATGACGATTGATTAAAGACATGATGCAAAATACAACTAATTTATCTTTTCTACCTGTGATAAAATGCTTACTACAAACTCTTTGGTTTGCTACTTCAAGATTGTGAAAAATCTTTCCGTTTGATTGCCGCTAACCGCTATTCATATTTTTTTCTGATAGTTCATTTAAATGGGGAAAATATACTGAGCTGGTCACGCTTGGGACCCCGTAGAGAGACACATTGTCATGTCCCTTTTTCGGCGGCTTCCACATCCCACAACGAACAGACACTCATCCGGCATTTCACAACACTAACATTAAACACACCAAAATATCTAGTTCCTGCCCGACTTATTAGGTTACAAACCTAGTCAACAAATATTTTATCTGTAATCAAAATCAAATTGCAAGCAAAATGTAGGAATGCTGTGGTAGGAACCCGGTTTGAGCTCAGGTCTGGAAAGCGAGGCTTCATCGTGTTTAATTGCAAAGTGACAGCCGCAAATTCAAAAAATTACCGCAGTTGGGTGATTTATATGGCATCATCTTTATTTTTTGATCCTATCATTGAATAGCTCTTGAGATATCAAAACTTTCTATGCTTTCGAATAATCTGAGAGATTTATGTTCAAATTAATCGGGTCTATTATGGCGCCAATCCAAATCGATCGATTTGACGAATAAAACACTTAAAGATAAACAAACACACGCGGAGGCCGAATTTGGCACAACGGCCTATTGCCATTTAATGTTCGAATTTATGTCGCGCACCGGAAAATTGATTTCCATAATACAGCTGCAGGCAAAGTTCATAAAGCATGCATGCGTCCGTTCCATATCTGGAAAATGCGCCATAATGTCGATACTGTCGATTTGGTCCTGATTAAAATCATCTGGTTCCGATTTTGAATTGACGCTGGTCGGTCTTTAGATAAATTTATATGTATGCGTACTATGAGTAATAGCGTAAATGTTATGGGGACACACTCTCGAATTTAGTTCAGATCTGACAACGGAGATATTGTTCGCTATGTTCGAATACGCAGTCTTTAAAAGGAAATTATTATTTTTTTATTTGTCATTACTTAAACTGGTGTGGTCTATATTAGTTTGATTATGTTCAACAGCAAATGTATAGCTCTTGAAATTTATTTGAATAATAATCTTCATCGTTAGTTTTTATTTTTGTACAACATATAAACGGAAAACCTTCACTATTTTATCTTGTATCTGCGTTTCTTTGTTTCTGAAATACTAAAACACGGAAAAACTCGTTTAATAAGCCAAGCTAATTACTATAAAAAATCCTATTAGAATTTCAAATCAAGTCGTACTGTTACTGAAAATATTTCTATTGTCTGACATAGTGACTAAGTTGTGCCGAAGGTCAGGCCACTCATTGGCCGTCGACAAATTCTAATGGCCGACATAGAAACTATCCGATTACAGTGGTACCATCGTCAGCTTTTTCGGTTGTACCCGACCCACTGCCGAAATAGTTGATGCGGTTTGGCATTTTTATTGGACGGAAATTTCGGTTTTGGATTGTGGGTGGGAACTCATAGATATGACCGTTGTTTTAAAAAATAAGCACATAATGCTATGACAAAGGAAATTAGCCATCTTTATGCCTAAATATATATGAAAATAGGAAGAACTTTTTTTTTATTTTAGGGCTAGGTCGTCGGTTATATCCGTCAAATAAGAACTTTCCAAAACGTACAAAAATTTAAAAATTCATATGTTTTGACCGATTTTGGATTTTGAATAGTTCCAAAAAGACCCATATTTCAATAACAGTTGAAGATGTATAGGAATTAAAGGCCATTATGGATGAAATGTTTTCAGAACTTCTTCCGTTCAATAAATGCAAGGTGTGTCATCGTTTTTGAAACACCCTGTATAACCTTTTTTTCATAACAAGTGCAGCTTGGGAATAAAGTTGACGGGTTCTAGCGAATTGAAAAAATATATACAGGGTGGAATTTTTAAATGGAATAAATTCAGTATCAGAGAGCCTGTTTATTTTCTGGAACAAAAAAAAACGGGTCCCTTTATTTTTAGTTTGGTACATTTTTTCGACCTTTTCATGAAATTTACCCCTTTCTCAAGGGTAGAAACCACCCCCAACTTTTTTTTTTCAAATGCAAAGATATACAAGGCTTTCATTGAAGGGGGAATGTTTTTTACGTAAAACTGGACTTCGCCCCTTCAGCCCTAGGGCTACCACCCCAAAATTTTCAAATGAGACAGGGGGTTGAGTGATAGATCATTTTAAAGGGCTGTTTAATCTGTACATTTTGCAGTCCTATTTTTTGAATTTGACCTCAGTGTGCTTATTCTGCAACAGTGAGGTCAAATTTAAAATAAGAATGGCAAAATGTATAGATTAAACAGCCCTTTAAAATGATCTATCACTCGACCTCCTGTCTCATTTGAAAATTTTGGGGTGGTAGCCCTAGGGCTTAGGGGGTTGAAGGGGTGAAGTCCAGTTTTACGTAAAAAAATTCCCCCTCAATAAATTTGTTGACGTGTTTCGGGATTTCCACGAATATGCCTCTTTACGCGGATAACGTGGGTGGCAAGTTTTGAAATGAAAGCCCTGTATATTGTGATAGTTTGTTGGGATGGGCATAAAAAAAGGAAAATGACTCACATTTTTCTTTTGCATTTCGGTGATCTAGAAAGCGAGAAAAAAATAAAAACATTTTTCCTCACAATTTTTTTTAAACTTAAAATTGTTGAATATCTTTTTTATTGGTAGAACCCTAATGCGAAACAAGCCTCATTTGTAATGTTATGTAATTATTTCTGACGTTAACACACTATTTGATGCCTGATACTCGGATTCTCAACCCCAAAATAGTGTGTTAACGTCAAAAATAATTACATAACTTGATCAGCGAAATGCAAAAGTAAATAATGGGTCATATTCCTTTTTTTATGCCCATTTCAACGAGCTATCAAAATACATATCTATAAATTTAAAAAAAAAAGGTGGGGGTGGTTTCTACCCCGAAAAAAGGGGTAAATTCCATGAAAAGGCCGAAAAAAAGTGCCAAATTAAAAATGAAGGAACCTGTTTTTTTTATTTTTCCAGAAAATGAATAGGCTTTCTGATACTGAATTTATTCCATTTAAAAATTCTACCCTGTATATAGTTTTGAATCCCCATGTATTTGTCAGTCACTGTATAATGCATACAGTATGTCCGTGAAGTAACGAATAAACTCATTTAAAATTTAAGCATATATTTTTTGGAAAAACGCTCGGACACGTCAATCTTAATTTTTGGTGGCGCTGTTTTCAAACTAATTTGTATTTATACAAGGTGGCCCCAGGAAGAGATATCACGTGAAACTTCAAATTTTTAAACGGAATGCCCTGTATATTTTGATGAATATCAATAGAGGGCATCAAGATGAATTCTCTCTCTATCGATATTCATCAAAATATACAGGATATTCCATTTAAAAAATTGAAGTGTCATGCGATATCTCTTTTTTGGGTCACTTTGTATAAATACAAATTAGCTGAAAAACAGCGCCACTTAAAATTAAGATCGACGTGTCCGAGCGTTTTTCCAACAAAAAAAAAAATGACATGAATTTTAGATGAATTTATCCGTTACTTCACGGATACAGTGTAGGCCAAAAATATCGGTGGTTGATCATTTTTACGCAATAATTTACAAAATAATCCACCAGAAAAACAAAAACAAAAATGGACACCAATAATGGCGAGTAAACAAAAACGAGGCAAACGACAACGTGACGCGACATCAACATCAACCAAGGAGCAGGCCTGCAAAATCATGAGGAGACACCGACGTTGCTGAAAGATTGATTGCCGGCCAATAAAAATCTAGCTGAAACTATATCTTTGGCCATCGGTAGCTACCGTTACAAAGTGAATCTTGCTGCCCGACTGCATCTTTTGGACGTCGGGCCTCAACCGCAATGGCAAACGCCTAATGCATTACCAACATAATCTTCTTGTGTCGCGTAAACTCCACCCCAACTCTAAACCGCATCGTTTTCCAATCTGTAATACGCTCCATTACGGTGACGTCATAAACTGACAGCCTGTATCTAAATAAACTTTCAGTCTGTTTCAATCTACACTTCTCTCTTACTTGTAATTGTTGCATCCATTGTCCTATAAAACAAAGCCAAATGATAAAAGTAAGGTTATGTAAAAATATTTTTTTTTTTAAATTTCAAATTGACCTGGAATTTGTTTGGATACAGCAACCATGACCCATCTTAACATGCGACGTGAGCACTAATGGATCGTATTGATGCCTTTATACGTAGGTAC